TTTTATATGAGGCAGGACACTAATTTTGTTATTTGCCTGATGTCCATCATTTGCTTTTGTGTTCAATATGCTGATTGATTGTAAGAAAGTCTGTTCCTTTAGACTCACTGGAAGATTTAATGAGCTACTGCCAAGTCACTTGTTCTTTTTTTGTTGGTATATAGAAATGTTGTTAGAAAAAATGCTCATTGTGAATTAACACAGGAAAAAATTTTTTAGTAAACATTGACGGTTCCAATCTAAACATATATATATGCATCTTTTTAGAGTAGTGTTAAAGCTATACTTTTTATGGTAAAAGCATTAACTGGCATTACTACTGGAGGAATTGATCTTGTCTATCTCCTGGTACATTTGAACTTGATTAGAGGATTGATCTAAGTTTAACCAAGCCAAAAAAGTAAAAAGGGGGCAGGCAGCATGGTAGCTGGGGACAACAGGGGTTTTGGTGGCTTATCCTGGGGTAAAGGTAACTGGTTTCCTGGCATTTAGCAAGCAGGAAACTGGTTTGAGGAGCTGATCCAACAGTGAACTAATAATTTTGTTTTCTGATAGTGGTTTTGTGCTCACTCATTTTGTGACAGTATGTGCAAAACTTAGTGCAGGAAAGAGCAGAGCTTGTGATCACTAGTAAGAAAGACTTCTGTTGTAGTAGTTCTGATTTAAATGGGTTTAAGTTACTGTGGGATTGCATGCTCTGAATTGTGGCTTGAAGCCCTGTTTGCTCGCTGACATTTTAGTCATTGTTAAAAAGTGTAAAAAGTTTGCAAATACCAGATGGGCATTCACAGTTGCTTCGTGACTAACTTCTCCATGTTGGAAGACTGTGTGCCTTTTATTTGTTGTAAGACCATGTTTTAATTATGGCAGCTGAGAGAAGTAACTTTCTTAGCATGAGAATTTAAGATCATACTAGTGATTTGAATGTGTTAAAGAATATCAGCCCTTCCCACTGGCATCTTGCATTAATGACCATGATGTATGAGATTCTGTGTCAGGGTGGTCTTTCAGTGGTGAATATTCACTGCCCCATATTTTGAATCAGTTCTTCATAAGTGTCTTCTAGCTTTAAATTTAGTGCTAACCCTGCTGGTTTGGTACTGTCCTTTTGTCTTCATTAGAATACTTTTTGTTGCATTTGTTGATTAAACCTAATTTCAGTTTTGACAGAAGGCATAGACATAGCTTTATGAAGTTATAGGAATCCACTTGAAATTCAAGTTCAGGATTAACTTTTTAACCAGATCACTTTGAAAATGCCTTGCTGACTAGTAGTCTAAGACTGCATGGAAATTCAGGAACAACATGATTTCTTTCTAGCAATTTCTAAAACTGTTAGAGGTTCTTATTGCTGTTTTTAGCAGTAGTTTATTGTGCCCATGCTGGTACAGCATCTTACATATGCCTGGCTTGCTAAAACTTCATCTTATGTTTAATATGCTAAGGTTATTCTTTCAGACTTTTACACTTGGGAGGCTGAGGAGACTTACTTCCTCTTCTAAAATCTATTTCTACTTTCATGCTAGCTATTCCAGCTAATCTCTTTGTACCTAATGTCTGCCTCACTCAAAAATATTTCTGCTTGAGTGTTACTGCGATTCTCAGCTCCCAATCAGACTTGTAGTTGAGTTTGTAACAAAACTGTTTATCTCTCTTCTGTGCATCATTAGTAAATGGTATTTAATGCTGTATTGATAGCTGTAGGAAGTACAGTGTCCTAAAGTAAACTTGTCTAGCTACTTTTACTCTTAAAAAAAACCAAACAAAACCAACATTTACTAGGCAGAAAGATAATCCAGAAGTGCACTGATTTCTAGAGCTACGACCCTGTAATGCCATGAATCGGCTTCCCAGATTGGGGATTTTAGGTGAGCGAAGGAAAGAAGAGCAGTAGAAGAGGTAGGCTGAGCAAGGAGGTTCAGAGGTTGAGTTATCAGATGGATACAGCAGGGCTCTGTGACACTGTTTATGACAGAGCAAAGAGCACAGCTCCATGTGTGGGCTCAGTGAAGAGGGATAGTGATTGCCCTGTTGCAGTTGTTACCTCTTTCCTAACCTTTGTCTTCTCTCTAGATTGTGAAAAGAGAGCAAAGAGGGGGAAATGGCCTAGTGTCAGACTTTATTCTGTGTTGTTGTTCTGTGTTGCTAGATGGGAATCCTTCCCCTGCAGGTTTCCATGATTGTCATTCTGTATAAAATATGGGTAAACCTTTTCATCAAAATGTGGATAAAGCTATCCTGCTAATTTGATGCTTCTAAGAAGTCCTTGAAAATGTAGGTAGTAGATATTTGTATTGGGTATTTGTGGTAAGGTTTTGGTAGCGGGGGGGGGGCTCCAGGGGTGGCTTCTCTGAGAAGCTGCCCCATGTCCAACAGAGCCAATGCCAACTGGCTCCAAGACAGACCTGCTGGTGGCCAAGACTGAGCCAATCAGCAACAGTAGTAATACTTCTGTGAACATATTTAAGAACGGGAAAAAAAAATTGCACAGAAGTAATTGCATCCAGAGAAGAGAGGAGTGAGAATATGTGAGAAACAACTCTGCAGACACCAAGGTCAGTGGAGAAGGAGGAAAGGAGGTGCTCCAGGTGCCAGAGCTGAGATTCCCATGCAACCCATGGTGCAGCCCATGGTGAGGCAGCTGTGCCCCTGCAGCCCATGGAGGTCCATGAGGAAGCAGAGAATCACCTGCAGCCCGTGGAGGAACCTCACACTGGAGCAGGGGGATGCCTGAAAGAGGCTGTGATCCTATGGGATATCTGTACTGGAGTAGGCTCCTGGCTGGACCTGTGGTCCTGTGGAGAGAGGAACCCATGCTAGAGCAGGTTTACTGGCAGGACTTGTGACCCCATGGGGGACCCAGGCTGGAGCAGCCTGTTCCTGAAGGACTGACCCCATGGAAGGGACCCACACTGGAACAGTTCGTGAAGAAATGTAGCCCGTGGGAAGGACTCACATTGGAGAAGTTTGTGAAGGAGTCTCCCATGGGAGGGACCCTATGCAGGAGCAGGGAAAGGACTCCTCTCCCTGAAGAGGAAGCAGTGACAGAACAACATGTGATGAACTGTCCGTAACCTCCATTCCTCGTCTCACTGCACCGTTGGGGGGGAGGGGGTAGAGAATCAGGAATAAAGTTAAGTCTGGAAAGGAGAAAGGAGTTGGGGGGAAGGTGTTTTTAAGATTTGTTTTACTTCTCATTATCCTACTCTGATTTTGATTAGTAATAAATTCAATTAATTTCTCCAAGTGAGGTTTGTTTAACCTGTGATGGTAATTGGTGAGTGATCTCTCCCTTGACCATTTGTGGAGGGGAGTGATAGAGCAGCTTTGATGGGCACCTGGCATCCAACCAAGGTCAAACCACCACAATATTTTGGAGGTCCAGAAATGTCTTTTAAAACATGGACAGCGAACTAGGGCAAGGAGAAGAATGAGTGGTGAGGGGAGGAAAAGGAAAGTCATTAAAATAGGAACTTTCTAAACTGGATTTACCATGTCTTGGAGCTGCTGTTTATTTCATTTAGATGGTCCCCTGAAAATAAGGGGTAATTTTGATCCAAATTTGAAGCTTATCATGGGTAATTCTGATGTTTGGACAACCAGTGTATCAGTGACTTAGGATTATAACTTTTGTACTCTGGTAAACTTGTAGTTGTTCAGTGACTTTTTATAACCACATAATTTTGTCATTAAAATAAACATTGCTTTCTTCTCAGTCAGCAGCTCTTAACCTCCTCCTGTTCTTGTAATACCAAATAATATACATAGTCTTCCTCAAAAAACCCTTACAAACAAAGCCTCAGATATTGAGGTTATAAAAAGGAAAAAATTCCACCAGAACTATGTAGAAATATGCCACTTGTAAGAAATAGTTTCTAACAGTTTACATAGATGTGCTTTATGCATGGTTAAGTAAACAAAAATTTTCATGCCTTCTTAGCACTATGCAACATGCCATTCACTATGTTAAGAATCTTGTTGTGAGGAAAGATTACGTGCAGGCATCCCAGATACCAGGCAGCGGTGGATTTAGGAAAATTTATTTCTGAAAGCTGAGAACACTGACATGATGGTGCAAGCACTGGGCATCCAAAGCACACACACTGTTCTCCTCAGGGCCTTTTATCATTTGCCTGACCCCCCGTTGCGGGGGCCTTCAAGCATGTCTGCAAGAAACTTATCTTCTCTTGTACCAGGGAGTCAGCCTCTCTGAAAAGCAGGAGAAGAAAACACATAAGACTATCCCTGGGAAGATGTCTCTTTCCCAGGCAGTAAAGCTTCCTTGAGCAACATAAACCCTTGTCTCCTCGAGTAAATCTTCCCGAAAGATTCTTCTATACTTACACTTGTAAACTGAGGTCGGTAATCAAAATTGGAGGCAACAAATATTTGTTGTTGTTAAAACAGAAATTAATATGCTTGTGGGTGATAACAAGGAAGTTTGAGTAATTTGAATTGGATAATTTTCATGTCAGTAGTTATGCTTAAGGGGGAATCAGAAGGAATGTGTGGTCACAGGTTGGTGAAAGCACAGGAGGGTAGGGGTGGACTGAGTCAGAGAAGGAAGTAAATGGAATATTTAAACTTTCTCCTCAGATAAGAAGTGACAGGGAATTTCTTGAGAGATCAAGGTATGCAGGGAGGCTGGGATTCTAAAGCATCTTAGGCAAGAGTAAAAAATTAGACAAAATTTTGAACAGTGTCTAATGATTTAGCAATAGCAGTCTAGTGGGATGATTCTTTAGGTGAGTCCTTTTCTTGGCATTTGGAGCTACTTCACTAGATACAGAAAAGATAGCAAAGAATTGCAAGTCCTGCTGAAACGCAAAGTTTTAGATGAACTGTGGCTTACTTGCATGTGTTAGGGAAATTTGGGAAGTAAATGGTATTTAACTCTAACCATAGTACTTTTTTTCGTCAACCATAATATTTTCTAATGTGACAGACTAGCAATTGGTGTCTCCTCTGCTGTTGCTGTTATATGGTGTTTTTTCTCCTAGGGTTTGGACGTGGCAGAGGGAGAGGAGCGGGGAGGTTTTCAGCCCAAGGCATGGGGTAAGAAACATGCAGAGCACAGATTTTGGCAAGGATCAAACTCACCGGCAATATTAATTGACAATGTTGCCACTGTATGTCTTAATATTCCTGTATGATTAACCAATATAGATGTAAAAATTAAAAAATTTCTTAGATTATTAATGGATTATTTTTGTCTTAATGCAGTATTTCTAACTAGACACACATATACAAACCTAATGTAAATTCACTTCATGTTAATATCTCAAACTTGGAGAACCCATTTGTACCTATCAGTAGCAGCCATCAGTAGTGCCTTGGAGGCTGAAAGCTCTATGTGGTGCGTATAGTTTTAAGTCACTTTAAAAAAAGATTTGTTTCAGTGCAATGTAGAACTTTCAAGTTCTATATAAAACCAGAAAGACTAGTGATTCTAAACTTTCTCCTGTTTTTGAGGTTTCATGCTTTAGCTGTTTGGACATACATTGACCGTAAAACAAACTTAAAAGAAGTTACTCAGCAACTCTAAAGTTTGTTCCAAGTTTTGTTGGAATAACTTGCTTCATGAAGTGTAGCCTCGACTACTTTTACTTAGTGTTTGCCTTTAATGACATTTCATGTAACATCAGTGATGTCATGATGAACAGAAGACTCATTCTACTTTTCTAATAATTCTTCTTGTTCATACTTGTAGATGATAAACTGAAAAGAGGTTTTTCTTCAATAATTCTTTTTCACCTTTTAACTGCATCTGTGTGTTTTGGCATTGGTGTCAGGAGTGCATTCTGAAATAGTCTTACTGATGTTCCGACTCCTGTCCTGTACAGGTCTGGTGCTCTGAAAGGACATGATACTGGTTTCTCATCAGTAAGCCACCTGCTGAGAAACTGCCAACTGAGAGAAGCTTATCATTGTGCATATAAACTAATGCTTTATAAGACTGAAGGAGTAGGTATGCTGTTAACTGCTTTTTCAGGAATTGTTGGTTTGGTTCAGTTTCTGTACAGTAATTTTTTTCAGTCTCTTAATTTTTTTTTCTCCTTTTATCCCTCTTTTATCTGTGTCCGCTCATAGAGGAAAAATTTCTTTTGAAACCAAAACTATCAAGATTACGTGGAAATCAAGAAGTTTAATCAAATGCAACTTCAGATAAAAATGATGACACTTGTGTTCATTGAATGACCCATATGTTCTCTTCCATTTTTAAACTTTTAAAACTCTAGGACATTTAACCCTGCAGACTATATGGAGTCTTCTGCCACTGATGGCTTTGGGACAAAATCAGATATTTGGGAGACTGGTCAGAATGATGCAGATGATGGAACTGGTAAGATACTTCAAGAAGTGGAAGGACTGAAATGAAGACCTGTAGCAATTTGCAGTTAAAATAACCATTCTGTTAGTGTTCAGTTAACTTCTGAAAATGTGAATGCATTTCACATGACACAGATCATTTTTATAGCTTAACTGCTACTAATGTGCAGAGCACGTGCTGTAGCCTGCGTGACTTATTAGAATGAAGGGAAGGCAATTTTCAGCTTTTTTGTTTTAGTACCAACAAACCCTTGAGAGACAAAGGCATTTGAAGAGTTGTTGGATGAGCCTCGTATGTGAAGAACTGTGTTAAAGGAGAAGTCACTGCCCGAGTATTCTCACACCATTCAAGGAGTCACACACACACCACCTGAGAATTTAACTGCTTAGACCAGAGTCCCTTCGCAGTGGGTGGCTCCAGTGAGCTGATGAGTTCCCCTTTTGACTCTGTGCTCACACACACTTGCTCTCAGGCATGCTTCCTCCTCCTTCAGGCTTGACCCTAGGTACAGCAGCAGGTCAACTTGACCTGGGTGCTTCTGGAGAGGGACCCCAAACAAAGAAATCCCTGGGCTTTTATGCCCTCACAATCTATGCAACCATTCTTCACCCGTTCTTCACGCACCTTGCATGCACCTCTTGATCCAATGGTGATTTTTGGTCTGGGGTCTTCTAACCCCTTACTGGATTCTTTCTCTGTGTCCATGCAGAAAGGCCATTAACTGTTCTTATCTTGTCAAGTTGCAGTTCTGCTGATGGCTGTAGCCTCCTTATCTTCTGGTTTGTACTTCTTGTACACTAGCTCAGTCGACAGAGCATGGGAAACTGAAAAGTTTTTGATTTAGAGTAAGTGCTATGTAGCAACAACTAAAACATCACTGTGTTATCAACATTATTCTTGTACTAAATCCAAAACATGGCACTGTAACAGCTACTAAGAAGAAAATTAACTCTATTCCATTTGAAAGCATATCTAGGTGAAAGTGAATTTTTTTGCATGTCACATTAACATATATTCTGTTTACTTGAAATCCAGTGTCCAATCATACACAACAACTAGAATTAAATGTTAAACAACAGTAGCATTGGGACAATGAACTTTCATTAAAGTTAACTTTTGAGCTGTAGATTTTGAGCTGTATCCGATTTGCAAAAAAAAAGAGCTTTCATTGGGTTTTCCAAGGGTTTGGTCACCCATTAGATAAAAATCTATGTCAAGTAGCTCCCCTTTAGTCTTATTAACTTTATACCACAATGGGTCATCCACTGATTTTATACTTAGTCATGCAGTTGTGGTCCTCTGGGTTAACAGCACCAAGAGTAATCGGATGTCTCACTTCATCTCTTTGGTGTATAGATTCTTTCCAATGCAGTTATTTGTTAGCTGATTGGTTATTAATAACTTGTTTGACATGAGAATGATATATCCAGTTTTCCTTTCCTAAAACTTTAACAGCAAAATTAGAACACAATAAGACAGTATATGGCCTCTCCCATTTGGGTTCTAATATGGATTTTTGTGAAAATACCTGAATTAACATTTCCATCTCCAGGTTGTATATAAGGTACCTGTATTTCAGGTGGTGAGGACTGACATGATTCCTTTTTTTCTTCAAACCCATTTTCCATATATGTTAGACACTCTGCCTAGTACTTCAGAATTTTTGACAAAATGAAAATGTCACTGACCAGCTGGAGTGCATGGAGCTCCGCCTAGGAATGGACAAAGAGATGACCGAGAGTTTATGGGTCAGGATTAAAGGGAGAGGAAGGACAGGTGCTATTATAGTGGGGGTCTGCTACAGGCTGCCTGACCAGGAAGATCGAGCAGATGAGGCCCTCTACAGATAAATAGGAGCAGCCTCACATTCACAAGCCCTGGTCCTCATGGAGGGAGGACAACTTCAACCACCCCAATATCTGCTGGAGGGGGACACCACAGAAGGGCATAAGCAATCCAGGAATTTACTGGAATGCATTGATGACAACTTCCTTCTCCAAGTGATAGAGGAGCCAATGAGGAGAGGTGATATGCTGGACCTTGTTCTCACCAACAAGGAGGGGCTGGTGGGGAATGTGAAGCTCAAGGGCAGCCCAGGCTGCAGTGACCATGAAATGGTGGAGTTTGAGATCCTTAGGGCAGTGAGGAGGACGCACAGCAAACTCGCTATCCTGGACTTCAGGAGAGCAGACTTTGACCTCTTCAGGGATCTGCTTGGTAGTGTCATAGGATAAAGCCCTGGAAGGAAGAGGGGCCTAAGAGAGCTGTTTGATGTTCAAGGATTGTCTCCTCCAAGCTCAGGAGCAATGCATCCCTACAGAGAGGAAGTCAGACAAAAATGCCAGGAGGCCTGCATGGATGAACAAGGAGCTCCTGGACAAACTTAAACACAAAAGAGAAGGCTACAGAGGATGGAAGCAGAGACAGGTAACCTGGGAGGAATACAGAGAGGTTGTCCAAGCAGCCAGGGATCAGGTTAGGAAAGCTAAAGCTCTGATACAACTAAACCCAGCCAGGGATGTCAAGGGCAACAAGAAAAGGTTCTATGGGTAAGTTTGTGATAAAAGGAATACTAGGGAAAACATGGACCCTCTCTAGAAGGAAAGGGGAAACCTGGTTATTTGGGACATGGAGAAGGCTGAGGTACTCAATGACTTTTTTGCTTCAGTCTTCACCAGCAAGTGTTCCAGCCACACTATCCTAGTTGCAGAAGGCAAAGGCAGGGACTGGGAAAATGAGGAACTGCCTGCTCGAGAAGATCAGGTTGGAGACCATTTAAGGAATGTGGAGGTGCACAAGATCAAGTTCACTGGAAAAGGGGAAATATAACTCCCATTTTTAAAAAGGGAAATAAGGAAGACCCAGGAACCTACAGGCTGGACAGTCTCACCTCAGTTCCTGGCAAGACCATGGAGCAGATCCTCCTGTAAACTATGCTAAGGCACGAGGAAAATAAGGAGGTGATGGGTGACAGCCAACATGGTTTCACTAAGGGCAAATCATGCCTGACAAATTTGGTTGATGGGGTTTACAGATGTGGTGGATGAGGAAAGAGTGACTGACGTCACCCACTTGGACTCGTGCAAAGCATTTGACAGTCCCACATGACATCCTTGTCTCTAAACTGGAGAGACAAGGATTTGATGGGTGCACCACTCAGTGGATAAGGAATTTGCTGGATGGTCACACTCAAGGAGTTGCAGTCAAGGGCTCAATGTCCAAGTGGAGACCAGTGACGGGTGGCATTCCTCAGGGGTCAGTATTGGGACTGGTGCTGTTTAACATCTTTGTTGGTGACATGGACAGTGGGATTGAGTGCACCCTCAGCAGGTTTCCTGATGAGACCAAGCTATGTGGTGCAGCTGACACACTGGGGGGAAGGTATGCCATCCAGAGGGACCTTGACAGGTGGGCCTGTGCAAACCTCATAAAGTTCAACAAGGCCAAGTGCAAGGTCCTGCACCTGGGTCAGGGCAATCCCAAGCACAAGTATAGGCTGAGTAGAGAATGAATTGAGATAAGCCCTGGGGAGAAAGACCTGGGGGTGATGGTTGATGAAAAAATGAATATAGGCCAGCAATGTGCAATTGCAGCCCAGAAAGCCAAGTGTATCCTGGGCTACATCAAAAGCAGCATGGCCAGCAGGTTGAGGGAGGTGATTCTGTCCCTCTACTATGCTCTCGTGAGACCCCACCTGTAGTACTGCATCCAGCTCTGGGGCTGCCAACATAAGAAGGTTGTGGACCTGCTGGAGCATGTCCAGAGTAGGGACAAGAAGATGATCAGAGGGCTGGAGCACCTCTCCTGTGAAGACAGGCTAGGAGAGTTGGGATTGTTCATCCTGGAGAAGAGAAAGCTCCAAAGAGACCTTGTAGCAGCCTTCCAGTACCTGAAGGGGGCCTACAAGAGAGCTGGAGAGGGACTTTTTACAAGGGCATGTAGAGATAGGACAAAGGGGAATGGCTTTAAACTGAAGGAGAGTAGGTTTAGGTTAGCTATTAGGAAGAAACTCTTCCCTGTGAGGGTGATAAGGCACTGGCACAGGTTGCCCAGAGAATCTGTGGATGCCCTGTCCTTGGAAGTGTTCAAGGCCAGGCTGGATGGGGCTTTGAGCAACCTGGTCTAGTGGAAGGTGTCCCTGTCCACAGCAGGGGGGTTGGAACGAGATGATCTTTAAGGTCGCTTCCAAACCAAACCATTCTATGATTTTACAACAAGTCGAGCAACTACTGGTGATTCTTTTTGAAGCAGCATAAGTTCTTGGTGCTGATTATCTATCACTGCTCCCATGTGAGTCTTCTTGTGAAACTGTCTAGCCACAGTAATTATGTATTTCTTTGGTAGTATTGGTTTCACTGTAGTTGTCTATATTCATTCATTTTTGTTTGCTTCCCATTCTTTCCACTGTTCTTTTTGATATGATGAACAGTCATTCTCATACGTTTTGTGGTCTGTTAAATTTGGCTGTTTGCTTTCGTCTATTGCTGGAATCACAACCATGCATCATCTCGGAGGTTGTTGGGCTGCAGCTTTCATGGCTGTTTTGACTAAGTCATTCCCTCTGTTAATTTTTGTAGTGCCCTTAGTATGGGCTGGGCAGTATATGACAGCAATTTCTATAGGTAGCTGGATTGATTCTGACCAATTATATATTTCTTCTCCATTGGACACTTTCCTGATCATGTGATGAATCCTCATTCTTTCCATAACATTCCTGTTGTGTGACATATCCTGAAGGCATTTTGAGAATCTTTATAAATATTGAGTCGTTTACCTTTTCTCAGATGTGCTACATGTTTTAAAGCTACCAGTTCTGCTCCTTGTGCACTCATCGTTACTGGTAGAGGTTCAGCTTCCGTTACTTGCCCACGGCTGGTCACAGCATATCCAGTCTGTTGTTGTCCATGCAGGTAGTAAAATGAGCCATCTACAAACAGAATTAGGTCTGGATTCTGCAAAGGCACATCAGTTAAATATGCTTATGGTTTACTTGATATGTTCATCACCTACTC